GACAGCTGTATCACCAAGGCCCACCACAGCATGGGTGACAGCTCTCAAAAGCTGGGAACCTGGAACACACCACATAGCCTGCAGGCAGCTCAACAGGTTGGAGAGTGTCCTTCCCAGATGCCTCTGTTGGGCTAAACCTCTTGCTGTCAGCTCTGCTGGTGTCTGTTGCTCCCAGGGTGCAGATGGTCTGATCTAGTAGTCTTCTTTGAAGCTTGGTTTATGGTGCTTACACTGGCAGTGTGGGGCCTAGTGAATTTGGTCCATTTCAGGGACTTCCTGAAGCTGTTGTGATTTGTTTCCATTCCTGCTTAAGGAATTTCCCTGCAGGATGGAATGTTTCACTCTCAGAGGAAACTGTTATTCAATAACAATAACAACAACAACAACACACATACACACACGTAAAGTATCACGTCTTTTTAAAAAAATAACATTTTGAAGAAGCTACTTTGTTGAGGAAGACTGGAAGACTTTCCTTTCCTGAAGTTCATCTAATGAACAGAGCATACAAATGGGGCGGTGAGGACGACTGAGGTCCTGGAAAGGGCCATTCCCTGTATGGGGCGGTGAGGACGACTGAGGTCCTGGAAAGGGCCATTCCCTGTATGGGGCGGTGAGGACGACTGAGGTCCTGGAAAGGGCTATCCCCGAGTGTCCAGACAGCTTTTGTGCGCATTGCTTAGTTCAGTAGCACATGTCCACCTCGGGTGCTTTTCCTTCTTTCTGACTCATTGCTGTTTGTTTGCTCTGGTTTGGTGACAAACATGCATTTCCTGACACCATGGGCCTCCTCACTGTTCCTCTGATGTCCATGACTAACTTAAAAAGCTGGACTGTCCATTTTCTCTTCCTGGAGCCTGCCAGGATTTTCACTTCACTTACACTATTGTTTTTCTCTAGAACTCTAATAAAATTGCCCTTGACCTTCTTTCTGAGTCTGATTTAATTTTTTTTTCTTTTCTTTTTTACTTTATTTATTTATTTATTTATTTATTTTTAACTGTGTATAGCTATTTTGAGTGCCCTCAGAGGCCAGATGAGGGCATTGGCTCCCTGGAACTGAAGTTATTATAGACACTTGTGAGCTGCCATGTGGGTGCTGGAAATTGAACCCAGATCCTCTAGAAGAGCAGTCAGTGCTTTTAACCACCGAGCCATCTCTCTAGCCCCCTAAATTCTTTTTAATAAGGCCAAGAATACAAAAGGGACCCTCAGTTTCTCCATGAAACACCAAATGGAGCGGAAGGGTTCCAAAAGCAGATGCTGTGGTTCAATTCTAAACTTCCCAAAGTCTTATGTCCAATATCCTGAGGACCTGGGGTTCCTCCTGTGACCAAGTCAGCTCAGTCAACAGGTTCTCCAGCACAGGAGTGAGGATTAAAAGAAAAGAGACGGTTAGACAAAATTGCAGCATGACCCCAGCCAGTTCTGAGGCTGAAGGCAGGTTCGTTTAATTCAACTTTCCTTTTAAACCCTTTTAATTACATGCAGGTATTTAGGTCAGTTCTAGGTTTGAGGAACCAACATTACAATAGAAACAGTCAAGGAACAAACAAGGCAATATACAGAGTCCCGTGATCACCCCGTGATCACTCTTGCTGTTTCTAAGGGCTCATCAGATGACAACATATCTGAGCCTATTTCCCTGTCCTAGCTCACAGTCATATTCATGCCTGAGGCTTACCTCTTTGTTTTAGCCTAAGACTAGGATTCCTGACTGAATTTACTTCTCTGTTTTAGCCTAAAAATAGACTCCTGCCTGAATTACTTCCTTGTCATGGTCCAAAGTCAGATTCTTGTTTAAAGCCCAATTCCTTGTCCTTGGCCAATTTCAGATTCCTGCCAAGCAGCCCCATTGGCTTCCCACACTCCTGCTATAGCTGAGGATACATAATGCGGTTTTACTCAGAAATAGGCATCATCGGAGTGGGTCCATAAGTGTGAATGTAGCCCCATAGAAAGGGGAGATTGGACACAGGCATACCGGAGGCCACATTCAGATGGTGGGAGAAGTGTGGGCAATGTTCCCATACAGCCAAGAGCAATGCAGGTGGCCAGTAAACTGCTGTGGAGTTCCACAGGGTCCCCCTTGAAGTCCTCAGAAGGAGCAAACTGGGGCTACCCTAACTCTGAGCTTTGAGACTCCGTGAATTTCTGTAGTTTAAGGCACCAAGTGTGCAGCGTTTCACTAGTGAAACCCCAGGCAGAGAATACTGCAGAGAATTTAAATTGTATTCCATTTCTACTAGACATTTAGGTCATGGAGAGGTCTTCAAAAGGTTAAGAGTGGAGACAGCAGCCTTCCCAACATGCACTGCACTCAGCCAAGTCTCTCCCACCTTGAGTTCTGTCTCCATAGAAACATTTCGATTGGAAACATATTCAAGAAAGAATAAGCCAAATTGCAGTTGACAGTGAGTGGTTAGTTGTGTAAGACAGTAGTGCAGTTGACTGTCTAATTCTGATGCAACCTGACTTTGATTACTGACGTTAGGAGAAAGAGCAGGGGGTGATCTTGGGGTCTCTTCCCTCTTGGGGTGTCAACTTCTGTCTTAGGGTTTTACTGCTGTGAGCAGACACCATGACCAAGACAACTCTTATAAGGACAACATTTAATTGGCACTGGCTTACAGGTTCAGAGGTTCAGTCCATTATCATCAAAGCAGGAAGCAGGGCAACATCCAGGCAGACATGATGCAGGAGGAGCTGAGAGTTCTACATCTTCATTTGAAGGCTGCTAGCAGAATGCTGATTTCCAGGCAGCTAAGATGCGGGTTGTAAAGCCCACACCCACAGTGACACACGTACTCCAACAAGGCCACACCTTCTAGTAGTGCCTGCCACTCCCTGGGCCAAGCATATATAAACCATCCCAGCATCAGTACTGGGTGATGCACAATCTCCAAACAGTGGCAGGATATTAACCAGGCTTTATAGGGAACCACTGGATTTTAGAACCAGTCCAACAATCTGGGGTAACACCAGGACACCCCCTCTTCCTAGTTATGCAGTAGTTTTCAAAAATATTCCTGACAATCCAAAGACTTTGGAAGATAAATGGACAAAGAGAGGCTGGGTTCCCAATCAGCTGCTCTGTGCTGCGTGCTCTGTGACTCCATAAGTCACTGGGTGAGACCCAGGGCAGGAAGTGAGAGAATTCAGAGGGCATCATCTTGTCACTCAACTAGGTTGTTGAGTGCCCACCAAAATGGATACTTCTTTCTGGCTAATGGAATTAAGAGAAAGAGACCTGGTCACTGTACTTGGTTACAAGGGAGAAGATAGCTCTGCACAAAACCACTGGGAAAATACATAAAAAGAGCGATCAGAGCTTGCACGGAGACACCAGGATTCGGAAGGGTGGACACACCCCTCATCCCTGCTCTTGGAGGAGGTGGATGACAGAGAGTCTCCTACTGATCTTGACAGGCTCCCACTGCTCATCAGCCCAAACTCATTTTTAAAATCCATCCTTTTTGATCTAGATAGGGACCAAATCTTCTGTCTTTAGAGTAAGTGGGTTCTCCAGTTGCATCCATGGGTGACTGAGGCGCCCTACACCTGCCTTGTTGTGTCTTTGCAGACAGCCAGTGCTGGGAAGATTATGGCATCTGGAGATGGTGGAGGGAAACCCCTAGGGGTGGGGTGGGGTGGGGAAACTCCAGCCTCATCTTCTGAAGCTGAGAGGAAGGCAAGTGTGAGAAACTGGATGGCTACTGTGGTGGGCCAGAGACTGGCACTGTTAGGAAGTGTAGCCTTGTTGGAGGAAGTGTGCCACTGTGGAGGTGGGCTTTGAGACCCTCCTCCTAGCAGCTTGGAAGCCAGTCTTCTCTGGTTTGCCTTCTGAACAAGAGATAGGACTCTCAGCTCCTCCTACACCATGCCTGCCTGGATGCTGCCATGCTTCCTGCCTTAAGAATGGATTGAACCTCTGAACCTGTAAGGTAGCCCCAATTAAATGTTGTCCTTCGTAAGAGTTTCATTGGTCATGGTGTCTGTTCACAGCAGTAAAACCCTAACTAAGACAGCCACCCACCCCTGAAACCTGGCTCCAGGTCACCTCCTCAGAGAAGTCCCCATTTTCTTTGTGATACCCAGATTGATAGACTGTCTCCTTCTCCTTTTTTATCTTAGACCACTGCTCAGTTAGTTCCTCTGAGAGCAGGGCAAGGCCTCTCTGCATGCTTGGCTATCAACCTCCAAAGGCGAGCAAACAGGTCCTTTTCATGTCGTTAAAGTTCAGGTATTAACTAAAAAATTACTTTTATTTGCGTGTTTGCTCATGCATGTGTGTTTGCTTCCAAGTACATGCATGCCAATTTGCATATGGGTGCCTACAGAGGCCAAAATTGAGTATCAAGTTCCCTGAGGCTGGAATTACAGTTGGTTGTGAGATATATGATGTGGTTTGTGGGTGCTAGGAGCCAAACTTGGGTCCTCTACAAGAGCAGCAAGTGCTCTTAACTCCTGAGCCAACTGTCCAGCTTCCCTACCTTCTTTTCTTTCTTTTTTATCCCCCCTTCCCCTTCTCCTGCTTGCTCCAGGTCCCTCTCGCACTGGCCCAAAGGTTTGTTTTTTTATTTATTTATTATATGTGAGTACACTGTAGCTATCTTCAGACACCCATATGAGGGCATCAGATCTCATTACGGATGGTTGTGGGCCACCATGTGGTTGCTGGAATCTGAACTGAGGACCTCTGGAAGAGCAGTCAGTGCTGCTAACAGCTGAGCCATTTGTCCAGCCCTGCTACCCCCTTTTCTTCCTGATAACTCATTGTTGTAGGCCAAGCTGGGCAATCTTACTGTGTTAGATGCCTAGATTCTGGAGTTGTATGTCTGATAATTTTAGGCTTGGTCTTTTTCATTTAATCCCTGCTTACCTGGAGATGTCAGAGTTAACAGAATGAGTAAACATGTTGTTCAGCTTTCTCTTGAGCCACAAGCCATCCCCCTGCGTTCGACTATGAACCAACTCCAGCTAACACACAGCATAAGGAATGTTTTTCCAATTATTGTTTTTTTTTTAATCCCATTTGGTGTTTAAAAAATCATTGCTAGAAATGGAAAAGCTCACAGATTTAGCCACAGTTGCAAAGTATTAAAAAGATACAACATGATAAAAATTCTACATTTAAAGAGCTAAAGTTTCTGATACCAGTGAGACGCTCACGACGAATTCAAGACAAAACTTTACAACTGCCAGTCATATTAAAAGACCACGACCCTTCTGTGTCCTCCCTGGAGCAGCTGTCTGAGTTGGGAGGGGATGCTTTTGTTTGCTGCCCTAATGCAGCACTGTGCCCTCTGTTCTTAGAGACCGCCAGAGCCGAAGAAGAATCCTGAGTCCTGAGCAGTTCCGGTCGTGTTACTCCTGAGGCCGTGCGTGTGGACAACTTTATAGTAGGTTTGAAGTTGTCCACATGCCTAAGTATGATACAGGGGAACTTCATTAGATTGTTCATTGTGTTTTTAAAATATAATGTTAGCTGCTTCACTTTAATTTTTTATTAATTATTACTTTATTTAATTACTTAAATTAGTAAAGGAAGCATAATCAGAAAATGTAGTCTGTATAAACTTATATTTTTATATTGACTTTGTTTCTGATTTGTTTATAATAAATATATGTATGATATTAAAAAAAAAAAAGAAATGGAAAAGCAACTCTGTAAAACTTAACAACAAAGAACATGTCAGATGTACATTATCTCGAGAGGTCTGCTTAGGATTCATTTTGTCATGATTCCTCAGAAAGTCTCCACTGGAATTTGGTTACATCATTTTAGACCAGCGTGAGGCACTTGTAACGTTTACAACCCCAAGCCTTCCCAATACCCTAGTCACCGACTTACCATCTTGAATGTAGCAAAGTTTTAGAGGTAAAGCGAGGCTTGATGGTGCATGTCTGCAATTCCAGTGCTCCTGAGGCTGAGGCAGGAGGATTGCTAAGAATTCAAGGCAAGTCCAGGCTACAAAGGAAAATTTGATCTCAAAAAAAAATAAATAAATAAATAAAAAAAAATATATATATATGTATGTATGTATGTATGTATGTATGTATGTATGTATGTATGTATATAAATAACACCACTTTGGGGTTGGATTGAAGTCAAGGTAATTCTGAATTCCAGATCAGGAGCAAAGTTTAAAGACCAGGATTGTTGGGAGCTGATTCCTAGCCGAAAGTGGCTATCATCTCTGTAGCCATCTCAGGCCATATACCCTGACATGAGACTTGTTTTTCAACAGCCCACAACAGCTGAGCACACTCTGATAAACATCTTGTTTTTCTCACATATCTTGTTTTGTTGTTTAGTGCCCCCAGCTGCAAGGCGCACATGGTAAAGTGTCTTCAGCTGCATTCTTCTGCTTGTGCTTATATATACCCAGGATTTCCTTTCAATAAATGGGACTTGATCACGCATCCTGTCTTGTCTTCATTCTTTGCATCTCTTGCCCCTCCATCCCCACTCTCTCTCTTGCTAGACCCTGTTGACTGATCCGAATGGGTCATAGGATGTCAGCCCTCACGGGTGGTAAGTGGTCATTATTGTTTTTCCATTTTGATTATTAGAGATAGAATCTCAGTCTGTAGCCTAAGCTGGTCTTGAACTCCCAGCAATCCTTCTATCTCAGTCTCCCAAGTGTGCCTCCATGGCCAACCAGTAGGATGTTATTTCAGGACCACTGGGATGGGCTTGGGTTTGCTCTACTGTTAGGGTTTCTTAATCCCTAGTTCCAACAAGGGGGAGAAGGGTAGTATAGAGAGATACGTGCTCAACTTCCGCAGGGATAAACACATGGCCAGTTTTAAAGATTTACTTTTAATTTTAAAAAGAAAAATTAAATTTTAATTTATCATTTTACACGTATGAGTGTTTTGTCTGCATGTATGTACGCGTATGCAGCATGTGTGCCTGGTGTCAGAGGAGATCAGGAGAGGAGGCCGGATTCACAACTGAAATTACAAGATGACCATGTGGGCACTTAGGAGCCAAACCCCAGTCCTCTGCAAGAGCAGCAAGTGCTCCTAACCTCTGAGCTCTGTCAGCCCTAAAGCGTTCTTGTTATTTTGAAGTGTGTGTGTGAGTGTGTGTGTGTGTGTGCGTGTGCATGTGTGAGTTTGTGCTCATGAGAGCAATGTCCACAGAGGGAAGAAGAGGGTGTCGGATTGGTACGGAGAACCAAACTTGGGTTGTCTGCTAGAGAAGTTCATATCTGTAACTGCCGAGCCACTGAGCCATCTCCCCAGCCCCCAGGCCCTTGTCCCCTGTCCCCTGTCCCCTGCCCCCAGCCCCCTGCTCTCTCCTGTTTCAGTTTCAACTTGCAGCAGTCAGGTAAACATCAGTGTGCCTGTCTTTACACTTTATTTTTGCATTTGTTTGTGTGTGTGTGTTTGTATGTACCCACATTCATGCGCGAGTGCGCACCTGTGTGCTTATGTAGATGTCAGAGAACAACTTTCTGGAGTTGGTTATTCCCCCCCACCCAATGTGTGTTCCAGGAATTAAGCCCAGGTAGTTAGGCTTAGAGGTAAGGCAAGGGCCCCCACTGAGCCATACTACCAGCCTAGCAATATAACACTGAAAGGCCGAATCCAGAAGAGTACCTAAGGCAGTGCTGAACACACTTCATGTTGTAAATACAAATTAACAATTTGTATTTACACTATGTGGACCAAGTGATCGTAAGTCTATATATTACAGGCCTATCACCTTTCAAACTCATAGACAATTCATTGAATGAACGCGACGTCTCACAGTGCTACTGATTTAAAAATGAGCCTATATCTATCTGAAGCTTTGGTAAGATGGTCTCCTTGTCACATAGATTTTGTTCACATAATATGTAAGTGTTAGCTTTGCAAAAAAACAAAAACAAAAAACCAAAATCCTTTTCTTTCCCTATGTACATACATAAGCCTCACTTCGATTTTTGTATCCCTTCTCCACCCTCTCAAAGGCGAAGGATCTAGTACTGCTGTGAGAAAGGAATGTGCATATATCATACACACGCGTGCGCACACACGCACACGGAACACATGCACACACACAATTATTTTTGAGACTGAGTCTTATGTAGCCCAGGCAAGCTTCAAATTTGCTGAGGAGCTGAACATTACCTTAAAACGTTCCCTCTTCTGCGTCTTAGTACTGGGACTTACAGGCACGGTATCTGCCAAGCTGAATAAAAATCTGCTTTTAGAGATAGGGTAGGGTGGGGGTGGGGCAAACAGACAGACAAACCAACCAACCCCATCAGGACTCCTTCTTTGGAAGCTATTTTACTCCCTCCTACCCCTCAAGTGCCGGGGGACCACACCTATACCCTAGGCTTGCCGCTGAGTTCTCCCCGGTTCCGTTCCTGTTTATCTTTAAATGGCAAATGATTCTCAGCGCTATTTGGACCTAAACTTCTGAGAAAGAAAAAAGGAAGTAGATAAGTAACCGTTCTCCTCCCATCAGTGATGATAAGCTCCAGCTGGCTTCAGGACAGCTCCTCCCCCATCCTCAGAAATAGCTCTGTCCCCGAAGCGGTCCCATGGGGTAGAGGATGATGGTGGTGGATTCAGAATTTAAAACAACCTTCTGCCAAACTGGGAGGAGAGCGAGGCCAGCAAGCCCAGCCGCCACCTTCACTGTAGCACACGGGGTTTGGGGAGCAACTGCCCCTTGTAAATCCCCTGAGTCCCTGTAACAGAAATTGACCAGGAAAGGGGAAATTCCCAGCGGGAATTTATGCAGCTGTGGACAGTTACAGACAGAAGTTTGAATAGTGGTTGGGAGTGGGGGATTTTGGTTTTCAGAGAGAAAGCCCCTGTACACCAGGCCCTCTCACAACCTCAGTGTGACTGGCCCAGTGCGGGGTGGCACGAGGCACCCTAAAACTCTAGAAGTCAGCTTAAGGTACCTGTTTCAGCGTATACTGCATGAGCTTTCCCACTGTGACCTTTGATCTGCCCATCCACATCCAGGTCCTTGTGTCTTGTCCGTCTCCAGGGTCTCCAGGATCTCAGACGTGTTCCCCTTTGGGGCTCCCAGGGGCTGTCGTGCCTGCTGGGCTGGCTGTCAGGATGGGTGGAAATGAAGAGGCAGTGGGGTGAGAGACAAGCGAGGAGCTTCTTGCCGCCTCACGGCTCACGGCTGGGATGTACAGGTTTCCCTCTAGGACAGGGCCACGCCACCTCCTCCTCTTTAAAGTGAGGGGCTCCAGGTGACACATTCTTACACAGCTTATCTACAAGCCACCATGGCCAGTATTCTCGATTTCCGAAGTGTTTGTTTCTAGCCCTGGGATCAAAGCCGGTCAGTCTCCGGCCATCTCTAGTTCATCTGCCACGACCGTTACCTCCCCCTCCCTTCCGCAAAATGACAATGGTCAAGGGTGGGGGGAAGTGGAGCTCCCTCACGGCCAGGGCTCTGGCCGGGTGCTGTCCCTCTTCACCCAGACGTCCTCCCCTGAGGTTCCTGATCACCTTTCCATCTCCCCAAGATTTCTTTCCCATCAACCTGCCTGCCACAGCCGGCTCGGGTGACTTGGAGACTCTGCTGACCCCCCTCTCCCCCCAAATCAGCCTCGGGTCCTTATTTGGAACAGGGTCGTCACTAGGGCAGGTTCTCCCCAAGGTGGAATTAATTTCCTCCAGAGTGGACGCCTTTCCATGCTCCAAGAGAGTTTCCAGGGAGTCCCAGGAGTGCAATTGGCCCAGAACTCGGACAGCCCGGGAGGTGACGGGTCCTGCGGCTGCCCCTCCTCCAGCCCCCGGGTTGATTACGGTCCTCAGTGGGGAGGGGTAAGAGGGCGGGTCTCCAGGTGCAGGTACTTTCCGACGTTGGAAACTTGCTTTGCCTTTGGCGTCTCGGGACCCCATCTCCGCCCGGGTCCCCAGGGAGCAGCCCTTGGCTGGGCGGGGAGCCCGCTGTCCCTCACGCTACCTTTCAACCTCTCGAGTTACAGCTTCGGGATCTACTGAACGAGCCTTTCCCTGCTCAGGACAAAGTGGCGGTGGCGCGGTCTGGAGAGGACCTCCGGTGCGCCCGGGACGCTAGCAGGGAAGGCGCCCCGCCCTCTGCCTCGCTTTCACCCCGCCCGGCGGGGCAGGGAAAGCCCCCGCGGCTCCTCCCACCCAAGGGGCTTTTCTCCAGTCGCCAGTGACTTTGCTCCGGGAGCGCAGCCGCCTGGAGCTGCTTTTCCGCCAGGCTGGAGCGCGCGGGGCTCCTGCTCATCTGCGAACGCAGGGGCCAAGGGTCGGTGACCTCGGGGCGCGCCCCGTGTCCGTGTCCACTAACCCGAGCCCCAGCCCCCGGCCCGCGCCTTGGCCTCCAGCATGGTGCTGCTGGCAGGGCCCGGGCCGGAGGGCAGCGGGACACGCTGCTTGTCCCCGCAGTCGCCGACGCCACCCCGGAGCGTACAGACAGGGGACGACCCAGCGGACTACGAGGAGTACGAAGACTTCTCGAGTCTGCCGGACACCCGCAGCATCGCATCGGACGATTCCTTCTACCCTCCGGGAGGGGAGGAGGAGTGCGGCGCGGTGTGTACCGAGAGCGTCCCGGAGGGCGTCCCTGAGGCGGCGACCATCCTGCGAGCCGCCTGCGCCAACGACGTGGGGCTGCTGCGGGCGCTAGTGCGGCGCGGGCCGAGTTCCGAGGAGGTACGGGAGACTGACCGCAACGGCCGGGTAAGTCCCGACAGGGTTTGGGTTCCCTCCGCTCTCCTCCCTCGCCCGCATTTCCAAGTCACCCCATTCCTGGATCTGCTGCCGCTCAGAGCACCCTTCGTGTGTGGCGTGAGGCAATATTGGGACCCCATATGCGGAGCGGGCGGGAGATGGTCCCGCCAGGCTTTCTACTTCATCTCAGTCCCTTTACCGCCCGGAGGATCCCCGAATTCTCCCTAGAGGAAGAATTCTCCACGCTGGGAATGTGTTGACATCTGGGGTGGGGGTGGGGTGTCGCTTCCACTCAGTGCCTCCCTGACTGTTACATTTCCCCAGGCCCCGGGTAGGTGGTGGTCTCTACTCACTTTCAGGGGACATTTTCCTACCCCAGCCCCATTTGTCTGCTCGGCCTCTCCCGCTGTCCTTGCCTAACGCGCTGGTGCTCGAATTAGGATTTGCAAGCTCCAGTTCCTTCCATTACCTAAACCGCCCTGCCTTTTCCTTGCTTTTCCTAGTGGCCCGCAAGGCGACCAGCCAGCTTCATGTGCGGTCACCGCTGCGGGTCAAAGCCAATGAGCCCTCACAACCATCCTCCAGGCAGGCCTGGTGTTGGGCAGCTTAGTGGGGGGCACACGCCAGGGTCGCCACGCGGGGAAGTGGGGAGCAGTCTCCATTGATTACGCCAAGACTCGAAGATAGCAAGAAAGTTTCAAAAAGGAAAGGAAAAAGTTGGAGAGCTGTTTCCACCGAATAGTAACTGCAAAAGTGACCGCTGTGGCCGTGTCCCCATTAATCTCTGCTGGGTGGACAAACAACCTCACCTGATTTCCATGTTCCCAGAGGCCCCATGATTTTTTTTTTCAGACTCAACCTTGAACAAATTAGGGACACCTGTGCTTCTGCTTAGGAGTCACAGCTGACAGAAAATATGCGCTTTAATATAGGGACCTGGTGACCCCGTGCCTTTGGCTTATCCTGGGGCTGGATATGCGCAGTATTTTGTGCCTGACTGCAGTCTGGGTCAGGTAGGCAAGTGTGAAGCCAGTGTGTCACTTTCTGCTTTTGATAACCCGACATTGAACTTGGAGGAACGGTTTATGCTTGTGATATGACAGGGAGACGGGTGTGAGGTGAGCACCACTCTGGTGTCCGTTCCAGCTGGCACACAGCGGGAGGAGAGGCTCAGGGGCTAGTGCTGTGCTGTGCTCCACTTTCCGTTTAAGTAAGCGAGTGTTCCGGGTCAGGTGTTGGCGTTAGAAACCTCCTCTTCCTGAGCAAGCGTAGCAGCGGCGCGGGGTGGTCTTTGCTTGGAAGCCTTCACCTGTGAGTAGCCGCTGGCCTCTCAGCTTTATTTCTGGAGAGAGGAAAAAAAATTCCCAAACAACAAAGTTTGAAAAACAGCAAGGGAAATTGAGAACGTGTTAAACTGAGCACAGAAGGCTTGAGAGTGACCGAATTCCAGGACCCCTGGAGAGCCCCTCCCAGGCCCTGAGGCAGGAGAAGACAGGTAGCAGCCTCCCTCAACTCTGGAGTAGCTCACCCGCAGTGACCTTTCCTGCTGTGTGGTTTGTGAGCCTGAAGTACCATCCTGGCCCAGAGTCCGGAGAAGTCCCACATGTGACCATCGCTTACTGCCTTTCTCCCTAACTTGTTTCTCTTTTGTTCTGAAGAGAACTTGGTCCAGTCTTGGGCCCAAGTTTTCTCTTGCTGTTTTTCTCTTCCCTTGATTTTGAAGAGAGAGAGACTGAAGGGCCTTTGTTGTTCTGCTTTGAGTCTTCATCCATTTGCACCCGTCAGAAGTGCCTGGGGACCTGAGGAAAGAGTCCTGCCTGGGCTTTTTAACTCTGGGTCAGAGGATCAGGCCTGGGTTCTGTGTGCCCTGAGGGAAGAAGCAAGAGACTTGGGGAGTGAGGTGGTGTGTGGGAGAAGGCATTCTGGTCGGGCAGGTTGGGGAACCAAGGGATAGTGGCTGGTGCAGAACGGTTTGGTCTTGGCCTGGAATGGAGAGGAGGGGCCCACTCAGGCCAGGAGAAGAGTCCCTAGCTGTCTCTAGCTGGCTCAGCAGATGGGGAATAGGGAGTAAAGGAGTGTCAGCTGGCCAGTGGCCAGTCTGTAGTCCTTTAGTAACAGTCTTCTGATGGTTACATGACTGACTTTCTCAACACCTGGAGGTTTGTTTTAAGGATACTTTCTCTTGAAAGCCTTTCTACTGTCCCCCATCTAAGCCCAGAGCTGGTTAACGGTAGTCTGTTGAGATGGGGGCGGGGGGGTTGGGGGTAGGCTGAGATTGTCAGTAGCATGGTCATTTGCAAGCAGAGGTCCTTAGAGTACAATGAAGAGTCTTTAGGCAGAGAGGCGAAAGTACAAAGGTTCTGAGGCAGGAGCAGCGCTCCAGCCTGGCTAACAGGTTGATCTTGATTTGTCTTAGTGAAAATCTTAAGGCAGGCTCCAGAACTTTGGTGGGATAATAGGGTGATTGCTTGAACAGCAGGCGTCTGCTGGTGGGAACCTCTGCTCAGGGACAGCTCACCAGGAGCCGCTAAAGTGGTGGTTCTCAACCTGTGGGTTCTGACCCCATAGGGGTTGTTGAACACCTTTTTATAGGGGTCACATATCAGATATCCCACATATCAGACACTTGTTACTACATTTCATAACAGTAGCAAAATTGCAGTTATGAAGTAGCAATAACATAATTTTATGGTTGAGGGTCACTGCAACATGAAGAACTGTATTACAGGGTCACAGCGTTAGGAAGGTTGAGGACCATCGCTCTAAAGGCCTTTGACTGTTGCACTTCTTAATAGCTAAGGAGTCCAGCCTGAGCCACAGGTAGCTGAGGACCATGTGTTGGGGACGAGAGGATGTGGCTGACCACACAACTTTGCTTCTGAAACATTGTTCTGGAAGGAGCTCAGGATTTACTGTGCACCATTTAGATATTTGTTACATCGTTTTCCTGTAACTCGGAACACATGCTCTCCCTGTGTTGTTGGATGCAGGTGCTTTGCTTCCTCCAGGAACTCTTTTCCTAGTTCTTTTCTTTGTATGTTGGCATGCCAGGCTTCCTCCTACAGCCCTGGAGGCTCTCCCTTAGTTGACAGCGAAATGGAAGACACATTTGTGCCATCTACATTTGTCATGGAAGGGCAGTTTTCGCGTTGGACACTTAGGGCAAATTATGCCCAGTTAAGCTGAAAGGTTAAAGTGCTGAGATCCCAAAGTCACTGTTCATTTATTTTATCGGCACAGCAAAGCTCCCCGGTCTGGGGTGCCTCCCCCTCGAGAAAGGCTCACACCTCAGTTTTTACAGATACTTGTGTGTGAACATTTTACCTTGAAATACAATTGAGGCATCTGTTGCATACATATTCTTTAAATGAACGATTTATGAATGTGGAAATCTCATCCTCCTAAAGCGAGGGGTCACAGTGTTGGAATTCATGCACAGCCCTCCGTCCTCCCAGGCGTCAGGATGTACAGCTGTGTGAGCATGGAATTGGGCTGATTCACAGAGAAGCTGACCTCGGTTTTTGCTAGTTACTATGGACAGTGGGTTCTGGCCTTGAACCTCCAGTGCTTGCCAAGGGTCCAAGTACACAGGGAGAGGTTTGCTTTGCAATTTGGGACAATATGTCCAGTGTTGTTTTCTCCCTCCTTATTTTTTCTTTTCCTCTGCGCCCTCCGCCCCCATCCTGCCACCGTGTGTGTGTGTGTGTGTGTGTGTGTGTGTGTGTGTATTCTCACCACAGTGCTTGCGTGAGGTCAGAGGACAGCCTTGGGTATCTGTCCTCCCCTTACACCCTTCAGTCAGGGTTTCTTTTTTTTTTTTTTTTTTTTTTTGGTTTTTCGAGACAGGGTTTCTCTGTATAGCCCGGGCTGTCCTGGAACTCACTCTGTAGACCAGGCTGGCCTCGAACTCAGAAATCCGCCTGCCTCTGCCTCCCGAGTGCTGGGATTAAAGGCGTGCGCCACCACCGCCCGGCTCAGTCAGGGTTTCTTATTTTGCTTCTGCGTATGTCAGGGTGACTCGCAAGCTTTCAGAGGTTTTCCTGCGTCTCCCTTCCACCTTGCCATAGGAACTCTGGGACTACAGGAGTGGGATACAGGCCCACAGCACAGTGTCTGGCTTGATGTGGGAGCTAGGGGTTCAAACCCAGGCCCTTATGCTTGTGTGGCAAATGCTTTACCCGCTGAAGCATCTCCCCAGGCCTGTTTTTAGTTTCATCCTCCAGTGTGGGGAAGGAGAGAAGGTGAACTAAATAGCATTGCACTAGGAATGCCAAGGACCACACTGAAAGTGAGTTTGCTCAAGTGGGTCTAGGAACGAATACTGGGCTTGTGCAAGCAGCCGGCTCTTCCTCTTATCTG